TGGCGTGTGTGCGACGCTGTGTGCCTGCTTGTATGTGGCCGTCGTTCGCAGCGCATTGCATATCCTCCTGTCTGCTGCATCTGCCCTCTGCGTGCTGCGTGTTTCGTGTCCGGGTTGCATGTTAGGGTGCCTGTTTCATGTTGGACAGACCGACAGGGGACTTGGCCGTCAGGCCACCTAGGGTGCTCCCTGAAACCGCTGCGCAGATCGCGGCTTTGGCGTGCATCTCCCTTCACTCGATTCATCGCATCATGCAGAGCCTCACAGAGCGAAACATCAGCGTGCGGTTTGCCGAGGATGGCGAAGAAGATGCGCCTCTGGCCGTAGGGGATTTGATCGCTCGACAGTACAAGTACTTGCAGAACGTCAGGAAGGAAGCACACACACAAGGCAGACGAAAGAATGACAGATGACTCATCGGCTGCTGTCTTGCTTTGCTTGTGTTGTGTTTGTGCTTCAACCAACAGGTGCTGGATGGTGCGTTTGAGGAGTCACAGCAGCGTGAGGTCCGCCTCGAGAGCATCACTCGAGCCGTCGGTGTGGTGGTGCTCCAACATGAGCTTGACATAGTGGATTCGCTGACCAAGGACAACCTGCTGGACGCGATGATCGCACTCGACTACCTCCAATTTGACACTGACAAGATCTTCACGCCGGGCAGCACACAGAGTCTCCTCTGGCGCATCCACCGACATGTGAGTGGGCGGTGGGGAAGAGGGTGCCGTTTCTTGTTTGCCTGCTGAAGGGTCTTTGCTTTGGTTCAGGTGGTTCTCAGCGCCTGGCTCGCTGACGATCAGCTTGCCACCACCCTGCTGGACAGCTTCGGCCGCTACGCCTTCATCGCCCGCTTCATCCACCGCCACAAGGACATTCGCACCGGCCTGCTGCCCTGTCTGCTCAAGGCGCCTCAGCACATCGGGGCGCAGTGGCGTCGGTGCGAGAGAGGGGAGGCAGAGGATGACGCGAGCAAGGCGGCCTTGAGCCTGGTGGGCACCCTCGGGGACGAGCTCTCGTATGGGCGCATCGACATGCCCCGCCACGAGCTGGGCAGCTTCATCACGGAGGCAACGGGAAGGTCATCGCTTGCTCACGCACAGAGTGAGACGAACACCAACGGGGAGTCATCCATCAACCTTTGACACCCTTTGTTGTCTTGTTTGCAGGTGCCGTATTCGAGCAGGACATCTTCACCTCATCTGCTTCGTATACGACACAGCCCTTTGACGACAACGACGGGGGATCCATCCAGCTCGACCCCGTCGGCGGGACCATCGGCGTCCAGGTAGCTGGGCTGAGTCACGGCCCTCCCTTTCCCATGGACCCTCCTGCCAATGCCGTGCGCGATGGTGATGAGAAGGTGTCCGACCTTCGCGGCTGGTATGTCCGGTTCCTGTTGCTTCTGCCCGACGACCCGCCTGGATCAAAGGCCAGCGAGACATTTGTGTCGTGTTTCGGCGCCGACTTCTCATTGGAGATCCCCTGTGGTGCTGCTGGTGGCACGGCAGCGACGCAGGCGGCAGCTGGCGACTCCCAGACCCCCTCCTCCGTCCAGCTGGTTGATCCCTTTTCCGGTGAGGGAATCAAGATGGGTGAGGAGGGCCCTTTTGTTGACAACTTCTCGTTCGGTCTGCTTGGGGGAGAGGTGCCGTTGTATGTCAACAAGGCCAACATATCGGCTGAGGCGCTGGCGCAACACGGCAAGGGGGACGCCAGGCTGAAGGAGGTGCAGATGAAGGTGACGGTGCAGTTCTTCCCCATGCGCACCCTGGCCCTCCACTACCTCAGGCTATGCGCCCAGGACGGATACTGGGAGGGCGTGACAAAGATGGCCAGGTATGTCGGAAAGCAAGCCGACACGTACAGCGCAAAATCGCCTGTTGTGTGTGCTGTGTGCGCAGGTCGACTGATCGTAAGATTGCCATCAGCATGGTCCCCGGCCTGGCACACGCGTCGCGCTACAGGATCCCCCTCAGCCTCTCCTTCGTTGCTGGTATCCAGGATGTGCCCCAGTCTAAATATAATGCCGTTACCACAAACTTGACGGCCAACACCATTCGCGAGAGCTTCAGTGTGCTTTCTGCCGTCCTTCCCATCGTGCCCACCCTCCCCACAGTCATCCAGGAGGCCTTTGAGGACGCACTCAAGGAGGCGGTCGAAGCACAGGAGGACGGCCACTTCAATCAGCTCTACAACGCCCTCATCAAGGTCAGCCCAAGTCATCTGGGTGTGCCGCGTCTGTGGGCGGTGTGAGCACGTCTGTCTGTATGTTCTGTTCATGGCAAAGGAGGCGGCCAATCGGCGGCGTTTGGAGGCCGAGCTCGAGCGCCTTTGTGAGGAAAACGCCATTCTCAAGGAACAGGTATGCTTCTCGGTCAGTCAGTGAGTGACATGTGAGTCCTGATGATGGCGCATTGTCGAAACAAGTGGCATGTGCACGTCCTGCTAACGCCTGTGTGTCTGTGTGTGTTGGATCGTCGCTGTTCAGGTGCGCCGCGGTACGAAGCGGCCCCGAGACGAGATGGATGGCCACCAGCAGCAGCAGCAGCATCAGGATGGCGAGGGCGGGGCTGACCAGCAGGACAAGAGGCCGAGAGGGGAGGACACCAAAACGACCACATGAGTGAGGGGATGGATGGACTAGTGAGAGCTGGTCGTGTGATGGTAGTCTTGATATCCCAGACAGACAGACAGGTAGCCTGCCTTCCTGCCTGCCTGATGTCTGAACGAATGTGTACACACATACACACGCATACGTTGATTGTTCCCTGTCTCCCTCCCTCCCTGCCTGCCCGCCTGTCTGTCTGCCTGGCGGTCAGAAGTGAGTGGTTTTGACTCCTCTGCTCACTAAGTCTTTGCTGCCCGCCCACTGTCTGCCCGTCTTCTCTTCATGTATGAGGCCGGGGGTGGCCACAGTTTTGGTCTCAAGGCTGCGATTGCATGACTGACCACGTGCGTGTTGCATGAATGAATGGTGCAATGCGATTGATGCATGGAGAATGCAAGGTCTGCACACGCACTCACACGGGTTCATGCAGACCGACCGAATCCACACATACACTGTAAGTAATGCATACACATCATACGCACATGTGTCCGCCTAGCAATCCACCAACACAAAGCAAGCTACGACCCCTCTACAAACTGCCTCCCAGAGCGTGCGGCTCAATAATTAAAAACCTGCTGCAGAGTTACCGCAAAGGAACAGGTCGATCCGACTGGACGTCCTGTTGATGGAAACGGGCACAGCAAGACAGACATCTCGTTCGGTCCCCACACACCAGAAAGACGGTCAATGGACGAAATGTGGCGCCAAGGCAGGCGTGCATGGTGTACATGTGGCAGACCCTCGTGTTTTTATGATCGCACATTGATGATACGTGAATGCATCCGTGCGTTGCTAGCCCTGAGTGTGACAGCATAAACATCGTTCACCGCCAATGGTCCTTCCACCCACGCACCCATGACGCACAAAGCAAACTCAATCGGTCTGTATCGACACAGCCCGCCACCATACCCACATCCGGCCTCACAGCCCTTCGCGTCAGAACGGGCGCAATGCCCCACCAAACCACGCATGTCTCTCCATCCTCCCCTACTCCCTCCTCCCTCTCCCCCTGTCCAGCCATCCCACCTATCCAGCCCCCCCCCTTTGTCACCAGCTGGCAACTTAGAGCCGCTGAAGGCCATCTCCACATACGCCCACCGTGCAAATGCCGCCCCGCCGGCCGAGTTGCTCCACGCAGACATCCGCACTGACACCTCAGAGGGACGACCAGCAAGGCAATTCTCACTCTTTTCACTCTTCCCGCAGACACAACGGCTCGGCGGAAAGTAAACCACGAGCAGGCCGCCAGATTGATGATCCCCCCCGTCTCACGAGAGCTCGATAAACGACGAATTGCCAGCCCCCCGTGCTGAGACACCGGCATGGCGGTGCGATTGTCCCCCCGTCATTGCCAACACGGCGCCGCCAAGGCCACACCCGACCGGCCGCAAGGGCCGTCACTCCTTCGCGCCTCTCGCGAGAACATGGTCAGCGACGAGCTGCCTGGCCGGCTGCTGACGATCGCAAGCCGCCCTCGACGCATCGATGGCCGTCATGGACAGGTCGAGGTCGGTGCACCGGCACACCCCACAGCTCAACATCTGCACAAGGAACATGACAAGATCGACACATTGACAATATGAAGACGTATCGGCCGCCGACTCTCCCTGCGCACCTGACAGCGCTGGCAGACCTCATCCGGGGCTCCCCGAGGACTATAAAATGGAAGTCGCTGCGTATGGATGGATGGATGGCTGCATGCTTCGACGAATGAAGGGACGGTCGGGTGGGTGGATGGCTGACATCCCCACCGAATGAGCGGGCGACGACTTGCACACCCCGCACCCATGGACGACAATACACACCTACAGCCACGACACCCAACATACACAAAGATACGCAAGTGTCGAATGGAAGTGTCCAATGCACCTTTCCCTCGCTCATGGTGCTTTCATGCAGTCTGCTCATCGCTCTTCGATGCACGCCATCATCACGGCTGCGGCGCATGAACCGGAAGCCCCTCAATGGCCGACGATGCGGCCAATCGTAACAACCAGCCCTCGCCCCGCCCCGATGCGGCGCCGCGCCCTCGCCCCGCCCCGATGCGGCGCCGCGGCGCTTGGGACGATTCCCAACCCCCTCGTTGCCCACGCGGCGCTGCCAAGGCCACCCCCAACTGGCAGCCAGGTCCAGCATTGCTTCCCCACTCCTCGCGAGAAGTTGGTGAGCGACGAACTTGTCTTTGTGGGTCTTCCTGGCTGCCTTTCGGATCGCGGGCCGCCCTCCATCCGCCGCCGGGCGAGTAGAGGACGGCAGCAGGCCGTTTAACCAGCCGACGGACCTCACCCCACCATAACGGGCGGCACTGGGGCACACATCGACACACCCAGCAACGGACGAAAGGTGGATGCATCCTCAAACGAAGGCCCATCCTGGGCCCATCGGCGGCCGACTCTGCGCACCTGCGCGTGCGCCCCCCAGTGATTCGCCGGCAGACCTCATCCACGGCGCTGCGAGGACCATACTAGGGACGATAAGTGGGGGCCGCCGCCGATGAAGGACGGCTGGATGCTTGGACGAATGAACGGACGGACGGACCGATCGGCGGACGGATGGGGGGTGGATGGAGTGAGCTGTGCACCGAATGCAGCACCCCAATTTTGCCCCAATTGCAGCATCCCGACTCGGAGAACTTGGGGGCTGGTCCGGGGAGGCTGAGAACGGCCGCGACTTGACGCACCCCACTGCCAGCGCACACCCTTGGACGGCAACGCACCTACAGTCATCACAGTCTCAATGGAAGCGTCAAATGCACCCTTCCGTCGCGCAGCCCATTACCGCATATGGTTTCCCTTCCCAATTGTCCCTTCCGAGGCGCCTCGGCCGCCGACTAAGCGAGCCTAAAGTTGTTACGCACGACAGACATTCACGCACAGACAGATGATAAACGAATGCACTCCCCGCGATGCTGTGCTTGTGCGTGCAGCGTGCTTGCGGCCTACCTCACCGCCACGTGACCGCCACATCATCACGGCTGTCGATGCATCATCTGGAGACACCCCCCCGATGGCCGATGACCACCCCCATCGTCCGTGAGGGTGCCCCGAGCCCCTTGGACGGTAACACACCTCCAGTCACCCAGTTTCAATGACACGGAAGGCTCGAATGCACCCTCTAGTTGCCCGTGGAGGTGTACTCATCGGCCGCCGACGAAGCAAACCTGAAGTTATGACGCACCACACACACACACATACCAACAGATGACGAACAAATGGACCCCCCGCGATACTGTGTGCGTGTGCGTGCCTGCAGCCTCGCGAGGCATCCGTCCTCGACTGCCGTCCAGAGGAAGGGAATGTACCTGCACCGCACCAACGACAGACAGACAGCACCAGCCATCCCATCGATGGCATGGAGGTGAGATGAGCAGCCAGCCAGTGGCAGTGCCTGTCAGTTACCCTCCCCAGTAGCATAGCGACGAGGATCTTGAGGATGTTCAAACCTCACTGGTGCACATTTATCACGGCTGTCGGTGCAGCATCTGCAGGACATCAATGGCCACCTCCCCGATGGCCGACGACCACCCCATCGTCACCACCACCGTCCGCAGCATCGTGCAACGGGCGTTGTTCAGCGTTTCGAGTTAGAGATCACAGCAGCTGAGCTTGCAAGCCTTCCCGAAGTGCGGCCTTTCGGCGATGGGGAGAAGGGCGTCGATCACGTCAACACCGACCCCCGGCGCACCTGACGTGGCCTGCCGCTGTGCTTGCAGACTGCTCGCCGCTGTCCTCCACCCCGCCGCCTCTATCTGCCAGCAGCTGAGCAGCAGTAGGCAACCACCACATCGCTGCGGCTGGTGCGCCATCTGACGAAGACAAAGAGAGGGAGAGGAGCCGCTGCGGCGGCGAATGGCGGTGTTTCTCGCTGCCTGGCGGCTGGCTGGCGTGTCCGCGGCTGCCCGCACCCTCCAGACGGCAAATCCAGTGGTTCTCAGCACTTTTAATTTCTTGGCTGTCTCGGGAGAATTCCACCACGGCTTAGCTCGCAAATTTTTTCAGCACAGAGAGGGCAGAGCAGGCACAGCAGAGGATATGCAAGTGTGTGGTTGGCCTCTGTGTGTGCAGGAACGGACCTGTAGAAGGAGAAATCCACTCGTTCGGCGGTTTCTGCTGAAGGCCGCTGGGCGTTTCTGGGGCATTGCAGAGGTCACGAGGACCATGGATGGCCTCATTCCCAGGTACAGATGAGCCACAAACCATTACAGTGAACATCAATTGCATCGCTTGCGGGCTTTGGTTCAGGCGAGATCGCCGCCCCCACGACCGAGCCCCCACAGAATTGCCAGGCGATGCCGACGAGGTTATTGCTGCAGCACACGAGGCACACTTGGCTCACAACGACCGGCCCTACCCATCGACGCCTACGGGCAGTTTGAGTCCGACAAGATGGTCTGTCCCTTCCCTTGGTTCTGAGCAACGATGCCTCAGCAAAAGTACGTCAAGAAGACAACCGCCTCACACACGCAGGCGTCACCGAGTCAATCCTCGCGCCTCGTCCCGTCTACACCACGGGAGAGACGCCCGCCGCACAACGACGGGCCAGCAAGCGACGCGGGAGCCTTTGCGGAGCAGCGGAGAGGAGACGACGGTCGTCGGCTGGCGATGGAGCCAGGCATGCCCGCCACCAATGAAGAAATGGCAAGGTGAGGCGGGAACCGGGGAGGCACATACACATGGCGACTGACTGACACGTAGAAGGACAGGAGGGTGTCAACGGGTGGCTGTTTGGTGTCTGTGTGTGTGGCGTGCAGGTACGTACAGTCGCGCGTGAGGTCTCACGTCGAGGAGTTGGTACGTACCAACGGCAAGAGGGTGGTTGACTTGAGCTCTGAAGTTGTGAGGAGACTCCCACCGGGCGCACACGACATCAGCCAGATCATGGTAAGACGACGGCACGGCCACTGAGAGAGACAAGACGGGGAGGGAAGGCTCTCATCTGTGTGTGTGTATCTTGTTGTGTCTGCAGAACGATGTGCTGCCTGATATCTTGATTGAGGGGCTCCCGAAGTTCATCATGGTAACACCGACACTCCCAATCACACAGAAACACACACCCCTCCTTGCGCCAACATGAAACCGGTTGATGCCGTGTGTGATGCGCTTTGTCTACCAGATTGGCTTCACCACGGCCATGCAGCTGACGACCAAGGACTTCTGCCTCGACAGCCGCGTGCAGCAGCTCACCAACGCTTTCAGCAACTTGGGGTTCAATCTCGCCATCAGTCTCGCACACGCCAACATCACAACCACATGGGTCGAACACACTACTGGTACGCACAGTCACACACCACACACACACAGCCCAACGGACGCACAGACGCTCACTTGTGGTCTGTCCCTGCTGTTTGTGCGTCTGGTCATTCAGAGGCGTTGGCGGCGCGTCAGCGGCCTCCCATGGGCATGTCGGCTGGGCGGCTGGAGGACGCCATCAGAGCCGCCGTGGCCGACAACATCCCTGCCGTGATGGACACGTGCTCCAGTATCATGACTAGCGTCGTGTCGGCCCCGGAATGGACCGATGCGCATCTCCACCGCTCCCTGTTCGCCCGTCATCACCATGACCCCCACCTCACAGCCACCCGCAGCGGCACAGTGGGGAGGGGCGTCCGGCGGCGCGAGGAGCGGTCGATCAACACGGTGGTCAACGGGCACTTCTGCGACCCTTTCGGCGTCGGGTTCACCAACTACAAGCGCATCACCGAGCTGGGCGGGGCCATCCGACCGGCCATGCAGCTCAGCGTCCAGGACAGCCGCATGAAGGGACTCATCTACTTCAACCGCACAGTCACCGAGGCGGCCGTGCAGAGGCCATCCGCTCCCCTCGTCTCCCCCGGCACCACCAAGTGGCAAGGCTGGCACAAGCGAGCAGCACCCGATTCAGCAGCAGACCAGCACGGCGGGCGTGAGGTGGACAACAACCCACTGCCGGCTGCGTGTGTGGAGGCCGCCTTGAGGGAGACCAGGGAGACCAGCGCGGCAGGGGGAGGGCACAGCCGGCCTCCCTTCCACCGGCCGTATCCCTGCCCGCCATGGCAGCGCAGAGACCAGCCGCAGTACGAGAGGAGGGGGTTCGTGCCCACTCTGGAAACTTCCCTTTTCGAGACTCGTGCGTCCAGATGGTCGACAGCCGTGCCGCCATCGACGGGCCCGCTCCTCCCTCCCCCCGCCCCCTCCTCTTCTCACAAGTGGTCACCATCAACCCGTCTGTGCAGCGGCACCGCAATGGGCGGCATCCACACCCGCCAACCGCGTGACGAGCAGTCCCCTTCCTCGTCTGGCAGTTTCTGCCCTCAGGGAGGTCGGCATCCTTCCCCTCGAGCGACCAGCCGGTGGCTGCGGCTGAAGAGGACAAGACAGGCATGCCTGTGCCGAGGGGTGAGGTGCGGGGAGGTGAGGAGGACAGTGGAGGGGGGCGGGATGGCGAGACTGACGATCGCATGAGCACGCTGGAGAACGTGTACGAGTCAGAGGTCGCGCCACCGCCGAGCGACCGGTCGTGTTCGGCCATCTCGAGCGACGCTGCACCCCCGGCGCCCCCCGTCGCCCCTCCCCTCTCGTCAGCCCCAACACGCGACCTGCCCCCTCTTCATCTGAGCCAGTACGCCGCAGCAGAGCACCAGTACGGCGAGGCCAGCGAAGACGAGACCCCAATGCCCGCCAATGCGGTCCCGTCGATCGGCTTTGCGCCAGTGCTGCAGCAGACCAGCCAGCTGCCCAGTCCCAGCAGCGGCGCTGAGCCAACGCCTTGTGCAGGACTGCGAGATGGCGTCAAGGCAACCGACGCGCCGGCAGGGACAGACAAGGGTGAGGAGGGGGATGGCGTCGACGCTGGGAAGGGCCGAGAGGAGTACCGGGATGAGTTGGATGACACCAGCGGCCCGGTGTCGCCGGGATACAAGGGCGCCACAATGGCCGAGCTGGCGAAAAGGGCGGCTGCTATGGTCAAGGAGGCCGTACACAAGAACAAGGAGGAGCGGAAGCCGCTGCTCGTGGCACAGAAAATCAAGCCGCCGTTCACGTCCCTTCGCAGCACCCTCAGCCAAGAAGCCCGGAGAGAGATCGACCGCCGACCGCTTGTTCGGCCCCCGCAGCAACCAAGCAACGAAACAGCCGAGTGGCCATCTGGTCCTAGTGAGGCATCGGGAAGCTTCCAGCAGCGGCTGTTGGGCGAGGTCCCCCGCTTTGACAAGATGCCTGAGACGTTGCGCGTTATCTGCGAGGTGGAGCGGGAGGGAATGCCGCCATCCCCCCCGCCCGAGTATGACTGGGCGTATCTGAAGGCTGCTGGGGGTGTGCGGCGTCTGGCTGGGGCGGGCATGCCCTGGCGACCGACATCTGCTGCCACTGCTGCACCACCGGCACCACCCTTGATGAATCCGCCGCTGCCATCGTCTGGGGCGGCTGGAGCTGAGATGCGTCTGTCGTCTGCCCCCATCCCTGCGGCCATGCCGAGCGAGGGTCGAGGACCTCTGCCAATCGTGGCCAACGGAAGCCAGGGGGGCGAGGTCAACCTCAATGAAGACCGTGTGGTGACCGTTATAGTACCCCAGCCCCTCCTGCCGTCCCCCGCTGCTGCGCCTGCATCCGTTGGAGTGCCGATTGCGGCGATCGGTGTGCCGACCGCTATGCCGCCACCCAGCATGTTGTCGTCATCGCACGAGGGAATACTGCCCACACCGACTTTTGGTGTGCCGACTCCGGCTTTCGGCTCGCCACCGGCGACTCCGGCGACTCCGGTGGTCGGCCCGCCCGACGTGTTTGGAGGTCCTGTGGTGGCCAACGGGGCGGTCGGCCCGCCCGACGTGTTTGGAAGTCCTGTGGTGGCCAACGGGGCTGGTGCTGCTGCTGCTGCTGCTGCTATGGAGATATCCGAGCGTCCCCCTGTCTTCGCGTCAGCACACGCCCACGGCCACTCCATTCCGCCGCCCCCGCGTGAGCCGCCAACGTACATTGGTCAGCCAGGCGCTTACGACCACCCCCACATGGGCCCACGTCTGCCGCTGACATCTGTCGGTGCGCCTCCAGCACTGCTCGCCCACCGCCCTCCCATCCCCCAAGCCAGCAGGGCGTTGATTCCCCCTCTGATGATCCCTGAGCAGCTGCCCGGGATCCTCCCTCCCCCACTACCCAGGAGCGGCGGGAGCCTACCGCCAACTCAAATGCAGCCACCTCACCCTCACCCACTCCCACCCCAGCCCCCACCACCACCACTCTCACCCGAGATGGTGGACAACGCCAGGAGTCCGACTGCATTTCCGAGAGGTGGTGGGATGCCCCGCTACGGGCCTGGCAGCATGGACATGTCGGCGGGGCTGCTGCAGACGCCACCCAAGCGGGCTGAGGTCATCATGAGCACGATTCCGAGCCAGCCGCCGCCCGCAATTGATGCTGGACGAATGGTGATGATGCAGCAACAGTTCAACCACCACAACCACCACCACAACCACAACCACCACCACCAGCACCAGCAGGGTGGCGGCAGACCGGCCGGGGCGGCCACTGTGGCATCTTCACAGACGTCATCAGCCCATCGTCAGGTGCGCCAGACCGACACCCGCCCTCCGGTCACCCGAGAGCAAGCAGCAGAGAGCCATGCTGCTGGACCAAGTCGCCAGCGGGCCGTCGGCCGAGGGCTGGGCATCCCACCGCCGCCAGCAAGCATTTCGCCATCTCGACCGCACATTCCACACGGTTCTGCTGGCACACCCTCACAAAGCCCTTACAACGACAGCTATGGGCCCGACTCGTCCCCCAGTCCGTCTCCCCTCGCTCAAAGCGCACCCAGCGGCGCCCAGCCTACACACCCGACGCAGGCGAGGCAGGACGTGTGCAGCGGCAGTCGCCACACACTCGGCCAGCAATACGGGCCTGACTTGGGAGCGGAGAGGGGGAGGGAGGGGGAGAGAGACAAGCCCGTGACCCCCAACACCGACAGAGATGCAGCCCACCAGCCCCCTCACCACCACCAGCACCACCACCGAGGTTCGCCGCCCCCACGACGAGGCCGAGGGGGCCGCCCACCGCTCCGCTCTCACTGGCGGCCTGTGCGTGAGGGAGGAGACGACAGCCCCCAACAAGCCGACCGAGAGGAGCCCAGCAGCAGCGGCTACGGGCATGTCAAGCGAGGCACGGGGCGGGGCGGCCAGCAGCAGCCATCCGAGGCTCCACAAGAGGCCGGCGAAGAGGCCAAGCCAGACAACGAGACGTCAGCGGCATCAGCAGCCCCGCTCTCTGCCAGTGAGAGCATCACCATCGAGGCTCCGACCAAGAATGAGCTCTCATCGTCGGCCGACCTGACGTCGACGGGCGAGGCGGCCAAGGCAGCCGACGAGAGCTCCCCTGGCCCCCTGGCCAAGCCTGAGGAGCCGCCCGAGAAGGGCAGCTCATCAACCACCACAACCACCGATAGGAAGGAGACGGCTGAGAGGCCCGCCCCGGCCGCCGCGCGTGATCGTCGCCCCTCAGCCCCTCTGTCGTCGTCACTGCCGTCCATCCCGCTGGCTGCAGGGCAGCGCCCGGTGCGGTACGACTATGGGTCGCGGGCGAGCCAGGCGTCACTGGACTATGGCTACGAGATGGACTACGAGGACGCTTTCCAGACGAGAAACATCATGCGCGACCTCGGGCAGCGGGGAGTGACGGTGAAGGTGCACGGGGCAGCGTCGGTGTCCTCACCAACCAATGACAGCTGGAGCCGCAGCGTCGGATCCGACCCTGTCGAGCCCCAGCCCCTCACACCCTCTCTCCCTCGGGATCGACACTTCCAGCAGTCGATGCGTCACGACGAGGCCGTCCGCGCCTTCTACGCCTCGGCCACCACCACCCCACCGTCCGTCGATGCCGCATCATCCCGCGGCAACCACATCAGCAACCCGTCACGGACAACAGCGGCTGACACAGCTGCGGCGGGATCGACGTGCGCGTTGAAGGAGGTGCATGGCGGCAGCCTCAGCAGCAGAGAGCTGATGGACGACAGGGCATACAGAGACCGGGAGAGGTCGCCGTCCACCCCCGACGCACCTGCAGAGAGGGAGATGGAGCGGCTTAGCGGTTCGCGAGACGGCCTCCCCTTCCCTACGCCAGCCACCTCAGACACACCCACACCACGCACGCCAAAAACACCTGGCGAGAGCAACAGTGCGGGCAGCCAGGACCGCGGGGTAAGTATCCACACACGCAACGGACGATGTGTGTGTCACTTATCATTATTCCGATCGTGTGTTGATTTGATCAGTGTGCGTCCGGCTTCTGTTGGGTTCTGAAGAAGTTGCGTGTCTTTTTGTTTCCTAACATCGCTGCAGCCCCGCACTTTCCCTTGAACGACCTTGATATTTGAGCGGTGTGTGTGGGTGGGTGGGTGAGTGTGTCTGTATGTGTGTTGCATACATTTTCTTTAGGGTTGTAGGGTTGGTGGGTTTCTTTCGGCTTTGCCAGCGATGTGTGTTTTCGGGACATTTTCTCTTCGTGTGCGTGTGCACCATACCATACACACCACACCACACGACACGACATACACACCTCGGCTGCCATACACACAGATCGTCGGCAAGCTAAGCCACGCTACGCACGCTTCACACCCAATGCGCACACACACCCATCCGCCCACATGACATGCTGTGGTGTGTTTTGTACTGTATCCGCCCTGTCTGGCTGCTCGCCTGCCTGCCTGCCTGCCTGCCTGTCTGTGTGCGCATGCACTAGTATACACTGACGGATTGTTCGTCTGTCTGTTTGTCTGATCCTTTGAGAGAGGGATGGGTGGCGAGAGAGAGAGGTCTTGACGGACAGAACGTACTCGGATGGATGGACGGAGACACAATGTGTTCGGGACTTATGGGGTCATTCGCCCTGCACGTGAAGAGCTGCCCCGATGGTGAATGCATCGATTTGCACACGTCAATCATTCCTTGAATTCCTCGGTTCAGTCAGAACTCAATGTCTTTCAACGTGCCTCGTGTGAAGAGACATTGACACATAGCGTAACAACAAACATGAAAACGGCAACAAGCAAGTGGTCTCTGTACGCCCACGGCGACGGGTCGCCAGCCGCAAGCGGCAAGTCCATTCCATAAGCGGCCGGGAACATCTGCACACACTTGGACGGAAGACGGATGCATTGTGAAGACGCCCCAGCGGCCAGGCCCGCCAGCCTTCGCGCATCGGCCTCCAATTCTGCCTGCCCCTCCTTCTTGTCCATCTCATGACGGCGCTTCGATGACCATCTGGTAGCGACCGTTGCAGACGGATGAATGGATCTGCAGTGCAACAAACAGAATGCACGCACATCCGTAAGCATACAGCAAGCATGTTTGTGGCACACACGTGCACCTGTGGTGAGAGATTCTTCATCTGTCATGGCACCATGACCGTCGCAGGGTGTTCTGTCAAACTGGGAGGGAGAAAGAACGAGAAGGGACATGTGACGAGAAGAGGCCCGTCGAGAAATCGGAGACAAGGGACAGAGAGAAAAAGATTTCAACTGTCATCTGAAACGGTTCCCCCTCCCTTCCGTTCTCCACTTGCTCGCCAGCCACAGCAAGAGCAGCAACAGGAGGGCGAGGGCGAGGGCGCACAAGAACCAACAGAGGAGGAGCCCAAAGAGGGAGACGGCCTGGAGGTCCTGGCGGCCAAGCTCGTGTCTGACGTCATGGACACAGTCGAGGCCCGCAGCTCGTGGCGGCGTCTGTGGCGGAGGATCCCTCCAAGTCGTCCACGGTGCCCCCGCCCGCCCCTGCTGCTCCCACCCATCCGGCCGCTCGCCTTTCGCCATCTCCAGTGCACGCCAAGGCCCCCAGCGCCATGTTACGAAAGTGTCATGGTGCGGATGTCCTCTCTCTGGTAACGGTCAAACCCACACGCGAAGCATACCAGCCATCCATACGCGCAGCCAAACACAATGCGTCCACACTTCCAGTCATCTGAGCCGAGCGCCTTCATCAGGGCCACAGACAGGGGCGAAGGGCATCGTGAGCACTTCGCAACAGCCATCACCACCACAACCACTGAGAGGGAGAAGACGACCAAGAGGCCCCTGCCGCCGCGTCTGATTCTCATCCCTCAGCATCTCTGTCGTCGTCACTGCCGTCCATCCCGCCAGCTGCAGGGGAGCGCCAGTCACGGTGCGGCTTTGGGTCGCGGGCGAGCCAGGAGGGGAGGGGCATCTGCAGTGGAGCGAGGACGCTCTCGAAGAGATGCTCAAGATCGTCGATCCCAAGAAACCTGACAGCCCGGTGGTAAAGCGAACAGACAGCCACTGAAACAGACGGCAGACAGGCAGGCACATGGGTGGTCGTGATGTGCGTGGTGTGGATCAGGTGGGCAAGGCCTTGGTAGATGCGTGATAGCAAGTGCGACGGCCACCACGAGGTGTATGGCTGGTCCCTCGCTGCTCTCCGGTATTCACGCACAGAAGACACCCCACACACCAACACCATTCCTCTGGCTAATTCTCTCCTCTGTGCTGCATTGCAGAGCAATGGCGAGCGGCGAGAGGGCCTCGGCCACCACCTATGGGATGATCTCACGTGGCGCCCTCCGAATCATCCAGCGCAGGCTCGCCACCGCCCTCACCACCACGCCCCCGCCCGTGGATGACGAGAGGCGGTGGGGCGGGATGCGCCTGTGTGTCGAGCATGCCATGGGGCTGCTGGGCGACATCCAACAGAACTGCAGGAGGTCTCATTGCGACTCACACACATGCCAGCCACACCCATCGGCGCGTGCCTGTCAGTGCTCAACTATGATCAATCTGATCGTGTTTTGTGTTGTGCAGTCCTCGTCAGTCGAGGGTTCTCTTGATGACGGTGATGAATGTGATGCGCGATGCATACAACCGCTGCCTATATTTTATATCCTGACGGTTGGTTAAGCGTTCTCTCTGCCTATCATCCGTGTAGACCAGGTGTGCCTGCAGATCATGTCTCTGCCGGTCTCTGCCTATCTCTGCCTACATTTTATGTATATCCTGACGATCCGTTAACCGTAGCTCCCTCTCTCTTCCTCTCTGCCTACGTAGTGGCAACGACAGGCTGCATATCACGAAGGTGGTCACTGATGGTGCGGAACTCCTTGAAGCTCGGACTTGCATTGCCACCACTGAGTCGATCCTCCCCACGCACAGCCAGCACTAGCTGTCAGGTCTTGGCATACAACACACTGAAAAACCGACCAGCAGAGGCACTCATCAGTACGTGCAGTCTCTCACACGGACATCATGCTATGTGTCCACAGATTGGGCAGTGGATGCACGAGTGATCTTGACGTCAAACAAAGGCCTGAAGCCAACAACACGCACTTAACACATGTCGGGGACGTTCAGCCACCTCAGTCGTCTGCTCACTTGTCTGTGGCCGATGTCTTGACGTTGCCCATCTTCTGCACACACAAAGAAAGGGCCGTCCTCCGCGCCCTGGACTTACGCTATGGCTTACTTACCTGGACGACGCTCATGCCCTTGCACACGCGCCCAAAGATGGAGTGCTTGCCTACCAGGCAGCAACCCAACGCACACACGAATGCAGGAATGCCGCTGCAGTCAGCCTCGGTGCGCGTGTGTATACCGTCAAGGAAGGGGCATGGCGCCAGGGTGATGAAGAACTGACTCTTGTTGGTGTTCGGACCTGAATTGGCCATCGACACAATGCCCTGCACACACATACACCGATGACCGACAGCTCCTCACGGTGCTGGCATGCTCACCGCCCCTGTGTGCCTCAGCTGTGGGTGGATTTCGTCTTCGAAAGCGCCGCCATAGATTGACTCCCCTCCCCTCCCCGTCCCAGTGGGATCACCACCCTGGATCATGAAATCCTGACCAGCGCAACACGCAGCCAGATACACCAGACCCCTTCACATACAGCTGTGTGGCTGCCTCACCCTGATGATTCGATGGAAGATGGTGTTGTCATAGTAGCCCCTCGACGCCAGGCCAGCAAAGTTGGCGCACGTCCGTGGCGCATGCTTCCAGTACAGCTCTATCTCGATGTCACCCTGAACAGAGAGGTAATCAAGCACCAGCGAGAATCAAACAGTTGCCGAGTGCTTTGTTGATACACTTGCTGGTGCGTTTCCTTCCTTACGTCATCATGGCACCTACCATGCTTGTGACGAGCAGCACATTCCCGCTGCCTTCCTCTTGTTCCATCGAATCAATGATCTTCCGCCAAACACACAGATCAATGCAATACGGACAAGGACCTCTGCAGGCACACCTTTGTCACGTGGTTTCCTTTTTTTTTTGAAGAGCTGCGAGCTCAGCTTCGTCGACCCTCTAAGCTCGCACACTGATGGACGAGATCTGAGCATTATCATGGCTACATTCCTGCGCAGCTGTCGCCCCAGTGGCGGCCTGATCAATTCCAACTTGACGCGGCACTCAAGACGATGCATGGCATCGACTTATACGGCCGTGACGCGTCGGCGGGAGAAGGAGACCGCCCAGCAGATGGAAGGCGACAAGGGCAGGCAACAGCGGCTCCTTGAGGATCTCGAGAGGGACAAGCAGATACAGAGGCAGGCGGCCGCAAGAGCAGCTCCGATGGGCGGCAAGGGGGTTGTGGCGAGCGAGGCCTTCCGCAAGAAGGCTGCACGGGTCGGCCGCATGGGCACCGGTCAGCTGCTGGACTTCCTGGGCGAGACTTCAAGAGCCAAAGTGGCCGACCCTGTGGTTTGGGAGCGGATCATCGAACATATCGGTCTTCACCACCGGCAGCAGGGCATTGCCACCACGGAGGGAGAAAGGCCAACAGTCGGAGAGGAGGCAGAGGCGGAAGAAGAGATCGAGGGGGAAGAGCCGTCGGCCCAGAGGTTTGCGTTGAGTGTGGATGTGGAGGACGGCTTCGTCGGCCAGCTGCGGCAGCTCTCTCACGAGCAGTTCATCTCGATGCTCGAAGCCCTCAACTCAACCACCGCCTTCGTCGCAATGGACCCCCGGCTGTCGGCACTGATCAGCAAGGCCTTCTGCGAGCGGCCGTTCGAGCACAGTGATCTTCGCCATCTATCCAACGTGGTGTGTTTTGTCCCGCTGCGGCAAGATGCATGCCGCCGAGAAATGATGCAGTACCTAGGGCAGCTGTTCCGCAAGGGCCGCTACAGGAAACGGCTTATGGATGACCAGCTGTATGTCAAGACGGCCATTGCACTGCTGCCGTGCCTCAACTCACATCTGCTGTCGGCATTCCTGAGGACAGTGGGGCCTTCCTCTTACCCCTCTGCAGTCATGGCGATGGGCGGCGACGATCTGCGGCTCATCCTGCGGGCGCTGTCGACCTTCAAAGTGCGGGATGGGTCGCTGGTCAGTGCTGTCGCGCATGCCGTCAGTGTGCAGCCTCAGAGGTGAGCCAATGAGTGCACGGAAAACGTCCGTGATTCAGCTGTATGTCATCTCGTCTTTGTTTCTCTCAGGTTTGGCTCACCTGTCAATCTGACCGGTCTTGCCACAGGTGAGCGGATCATCATCCGCAGTATGCAGAGGCACTCTTGTGGCCCCCTTTTCCTTGTGTGTGTACAGATTTCCTCGACTGTCGGTTGATGGAGCCCGGAGTGCCCTCGCCGATCGACCAGCTGCTGGCAGAGATCAGGTGCCGATACTTGAATAGCTGAATTCACTCCGTATGCGTTGGATTATGTCATGTCAGGCGCCAGGCCCCCTCCTACAACTTGCAGGATCTGACCATCGTCGCAGGTGGGTTTCCAGCGAAGAAGACGCAGAATGACATCGGAAGATAGACCACAATGTGATTGCCTGGGTTCAGGAGGGTTGGCTCGGGCGCCGTGGGGTGGCTTGTCCGAGAAGCATGGCCTGCGGCTGACAGTGGACACTCTACGGGGACGATGTCGCGATCTCATAGGTACCGGCGAAGATGAAGCAAAGCCAAACGACCAGGTCAGTGGCAGACTCAAGAGTACCAGCTCTCGACTCGTGTGCATCTGTCCTCTGTCTGTCCCCCAGTTGCTGGCCCTGTTGTCATCCTTCGCTGCCTTCGAGTGGATCCCCGACGGCGCCACGCCACTCCCGACATCGGCCGACCTCCCCGTCACACCATGCTACAAGTCCACACGAGGCGAACAGACGCTGACTGACACCCTTGCCCAGGCAGCCAAGAAGGCCCTTCTCTCACCCCCAAGTGAACAGGGAGAGGGATCAGCGGAGGACCGGTCGGCTGCATTCATGGCCCTGTCAGCCACCCTGCAAACCGCCCTCCACTCGTCCTCCCAGACCATCTCAGCCCTGGTTGACGAGCTTCGGCCGTTCCTGTCATCTCAGGCCGGGCAGGCATATGAGGAGGCATCCTTCAAGACCCTCCTGGAGCACTGCAGCCACACTCTACTTTCGGCTACGGCAGAGTATGTCGGCAGAGCAACGAGAGACCCATCCAGCGCGGCTAGTAGCTATCATGCTGCCCTCAACGGAGCCGCGGAGACCTTGCGAGTGGTGCGGCTGTTCCTATCGGTCCCTCTGGCCAGACAGACCTTCGATGTGGCCGTGTCTTCCTTCCGCGCCCTGGCCGTTGCGTCCCACTGCACCACATCCATCCAACCCCATCTTGAGGACCACCAAGAGGCTAAGAAACGGCTTGATGGGCTCCGGCAGCAGGCCGATGACACAACGGCGGCCCTCGACAAGGCCTTATCTTCACTGCTGACATCGCCAGATGTTGCGGTGGAGGTGACACCCGGCGACCTGACGGCCCTCGCTTCCCTGCCGTGTCCCACCACGTTTGCGGTGGTCGTCCGCCGTCTGCAGAAGGACCTCATCCCCCAGCTGACCCTCTCGGAGGCCCCCCTGTTCGTGCGGCTGTTCGCTCTCGCCCAGCTGGGCCACATGCCCCTCTCTCTCCCGGCCACTGCACCCATCACCGTTGGTGGTGATGAGGTGGTCGAGACCTCACCACCAGCAGCGACTGCTACAGCCCCTGCAGGCGAATCATTTACGTCGCATTTCGGTCCGGCGAAAGGCGCATCTTCCGAGGCACCGGCAGCTGCTCGTCAGGCTATCTCGGGTGGTGGCCCCAGGGGCACTCTGGAGGGCTTCGAATCCCTCAGCCGCCGCAAGCTGGCGACCGGCGCCCCTTCACTACTGGAGGAGCGGCCACTAACGCGTGAGGAGGAGATCGCGAGCCTGGAATGGATGGAGGGGCTGCTTGATGACGCGCAGCCGTCGCTCTCGACCCACCCCTTCGGCCATGGGGTGCGTCTCTACGACGAGCTGATGATTCATGCCGGCCACAACGGCACGGAGCCCGACAGCCCCCTCCCTGAAGACACGGTGGACCGGGACGAGGCAAGGAGGCGGCTGCGGTCATTGGCGTGTTTCGTGACGCTGCATGCCGACCCCATGCACACCGGGCAGCCTTCCCAGGGGGCCGTCGACCACCTCACTGAGTCGATCAAGACGCAACAGGCCAAGAAACAGCTGGAAGGAAAGACCGCGGGCGAGCAGGCAGAAAGAGGCGAAGGCGATCCGCCGTCTGTACGTGCGGTGATGCCCTCGGCTGGTCGGGACGAGGCGGGGCCCTCGGTAACTGCTCGACATGTGCCGTGGGACTTGCTGAAGAAGAGAAGGCCGTCTGTGCGGCTGCAGGAGTGAGGAGCCAGTGGCCCAAGGTGCTGTATTGATGTGTGTATTGATGTGTCTGTGAGGTTTGCGAGATGGCTGGCCGTTGTCGATTTGTGCAAGTCGTATGTGAGCAAGACAGATGGACGACAGGTCGATGGACATCCCATGTGTACATCACATCGTATAAATGGTCTTTCCAGTTGTCTGTCTGTATACACACAGTCGGCTCACACGCACATCCACAGGCACACACGCGTCATACAGTCCGTCTCTCCTTCTGACATGGTCGCTCTCGACGGCATTTGAGCCGCAACCAGACATGCAGCAGAGTCATGTCGAAAGCATCACCCCTCGTGTTGCTGAGGTGATACATCATGAACCCCCTCACCTCATGAAGCATCCTCTGCTTGGCTCGAATCTCCCTCTCGCTCATCGCATTCAGCACATCGAACGTTTGATGCGACTCCTTCTTCGGAATGATCACAGCAAAGGATGTCCAGTCGAAGAAACAGCTGTGTGGCAGCCAGTATGAGTCAGCGATGACCACGGGGATGCATAAGTACCACAGAAGACTGCATTAAGCGGGGGCTGAACACTCGCGAGCCGGCAGGGCACAAGCAGAATGTGCTCTCGCGGTTGTACTGCGAGTATCTCGCCCTCGAGACACGGCCGCTGACAATCCTCGTGGCATTCTTTCGCTTCGCCGCTGACGGCTCATCGGATGCATTGGGCTCGAATGACGCAAAGACGGCAGAGCGAAGGTTCCCTCTACCCCCGCCCTTCCTACCAGCACGGCCTGACGACAGGGGACACATGCAGGAGAAGCATCTGTAGGTGTGTGTATTGTGTCTCTCATATTGTCATGTGTTTCACCTGCAAAGAAGGCGAAGATTGGCCGATGGCCTAATTGCAGCCCTCGACTCGCCTTGCCCACCAGCTTGGCCATCTTGGTCCTCACGGCACTGTCCTGCCTTGACAGCGTCAAAGGGACCCGCTGCACTGCCTGAGCTCTATCACAGGCGAGGAACTGCTCGAAAGCAGCGAGAAAGGGCCCGTGAGAGGCAAATGAGAGGTTGGACGCATTGGGGAAGGAGAAGATGAAGCTGGCGATGCTGTTGCCATCCGTGTACTTCACCCAGCGTGCGACCTTGGGTGGGAGGTCATCTTTCGGGTTGCTTTGTAGGGGCAAACTCAATGCGAAATTCGCGTTTTCTGCAAACAGAGAAGAATGAAGATACAGATGAACCAAATTGACTTTGTCTGATAAGTTCGCTTTACGTATGTCGACAGAGCACGGCGCAGAGACATCATTGGCTACGGAAAAAGCGTATGGCGTGGCAGGCTTGACTGGAGCAGTCCGATTGAAGAGCGCAGCCAACACCGAAGGTGTGATCGACGACGGCATAGGGTCGTTGTGTCTCGAGTCGTTGCGAACACGTATGCGGTGGTTGTCCTTTGGGTCGCGATGCATGGAGCCTCCGTCGCAAGCTTTGGGTGAGCGATCGACGCATACTCACCTTTCCCGCCGTCATGCGAAGATACCCAGAAGTGTGGCCGCGAATCTGACACGCAGACAGACAATGATAAGGCATTTCTCCTGGCAGAGGCATACCGTTGAAATAGGGGTATCTGGTCGATATCCAGGCGACAAGCATGGCGACCATTGTAGACACAATCAAGGCCTCTGTAATGCCGGCCTTTGAGGCCGTGAACCTGGGACGCCGCCTGTGTGCCCTTCATGCGCTTTCTCGCCTTCTGCGCCGACTTGGACCACTGAGATGTGAAAATGGGAAGAAAGAAGGCGTCGGCTTCTTCAGGGCGCTTCGTCGCGTAGACAGATCGCTGCATCTGATACCACACGACACTGCAAGGATTGAAGGGATAGGAAGTCGCCCATTTGTGTATCTCTGACTTCTGCGTAACTCTCCACACCATAAGCGCTATTCGTGTCTGCTCTTTGGCACCATGTGCAGAGGTAAAGGAGAACAGCAATCCATTCACAGCACGCACACGCCTCCTTGCTTTCCTCACCTTTCTTGACCATGACCTTTCCCGAGAGCATTGGCGGCAGCTTCAGCCGTATAATCGCCGACTCGTTGTGAACACGCCGTTGGACAGCATCCAACTCCGCATTGGTTGGAATCGGATACTGATACACCCTGAATGACTCCCGCATATCATCGATGACCTCCTTCACCGCACATAGAGCCAGCACATACTCAGGGTCGGCCAGGCTCGTCCCGTAGTGAGTGGTCCTGTCGATGAAGTCCTCAAGAATGGTCTCCGCCCGGCTGGACCGCAGCAGACACTCACACTTGTCACATAGATACTTGCTGAAGTACTCGCCGTAATGAAACGGCCGTCGCTTCTGCTGACGGTACGGCCATAATTGGGAGAGATGGTGGCTTCTGTGCTGGATGTTTGGGACAGTTCCAGCAGGTGCATCTTGTGAAGTAGCTGACAAGGGCGATGTGATGCTCAGAAGTGTCCCAACCACCTGAAAACTTACCACAAAAGAAGAGAGCTTGTCCGAGCACCTTGGATGGTCAGTCTGCCTTTTGGATGGTTTCTTAACAGTGTGACGAAGCATGCGAGTGTCGGTAGCGTCGGCAGGATGACAACCGTCCTCCACAAGCCACCATCTTCGGCAGGATCCTTAATAAGCTCCGTCGTTCCAGCAGCTGATGACGAGGGCATATTCTTGCTGTTGTTTTCTGCTGACGAATCGTGTAAGTACGTGCCTCCCTCGTCCATCCATAGAAGCAATCAAACACCAAAGATATTCATTCCGCGCAACAAACACTCCGATCGCTGCGAGCTTTGAGATTGCCAGATGGAGCCGAACGGCGTTGGCGGAGGTGAGGAGGGGTCGGAAATGGGAAGCAAAGCAGCCATCGAGCCATACGTGTGTGGGATCTTCCAAAATATGTGGCGTCTGTTTATGTCCTGTCAGGCACAGCGCGATGGAGGTCGTATGAGTCCCGGCTGAGAGAAGAAGATCAACAAGGGCCCTATCATCGGTACACAGTATGAAAACTGCTCACATCCTTTCGCTGGTCGTCGAGGTCTCTGTGTCCCTCCCTCACAGGCAGCTGACAAATGATGATTTGGCTGCTGCGGTGGTGGACGTCTGGCTTCTCTTATCGGCGAGTGGCCGACCACCGTCAGCTGCTGTCGACATCCACTGAGGAGGATGACTCCAGCACTCAGCTATCCGTCGTCATCGGTGGTGCTGGTGCTGACCAAGGGCTTCCTGCCGACGTCTTTGCCCGTGTGGTCATCCCTCTCCTGCCTGTCGACGATGCCGTGAGGCTTCGGGCGGTCGGCAAGGCTTACGGCGCTCAGCTGATCGATGAGGCGTTCCTTCTCAGTCGCATCAACAGCTGCCTGGCCCAGCAGCAGCTGACCGGCCTCATCGATGTGGAGAGGGACCGCGGCGCCGACCCCTCGGCCCCTCCCCTCCCACCATCCCTCTCGCGAATTGGGTATCTCGCTCGGTGTGCCTACGTCATCGAGCGGGCGGCTGAGTGGCGCCATATGGCCACATTTATCAGGGTGGCAGGTGCCTGCGGTGTGGCTGGCCAGCTGCCTGTGGTGCTGTCGGCTGAGACTGTGGCGGCTCATGTGCCCGACAAGGCGACTTTCCATCGGCTGCCTGCCACCATGGCCGTCTACAAGACACTTGGAGATCTGCTGGGCAGTGGCGCTGACAACGGCAGCCAACAGCTGCAGCTGACCGACGGCGGCAGACGGGAGATCGATGTCTTTGTCGTGCCCACTAACATGCTGCTTCGAGTCGTGCACTTGGCTTCCTACTTTATCTATCTGCTGGCGCTCGGTTGGGCTGTCGTGCACGGGGTGCAATTCTTGGCGTGCGTCATCGTAGATGCCCTTGATCACCTGGAGAGGCTGGACATTACATATCGTGTCGTCTGCCAAACCGGTATAGTGATCTTCTCTATGTTCCTGGGCGGGCTTATCGGCGTGTTGATCCGGAGAGTGACAAAAGCAATTTGGGTGTGGGTCCATGCGAGAAAGAGGATGGTCCAGCACTATGACGTCGGTGAGAGGACGCTTCGCATCATCGGCCGAGATGAGATGTTCTGCTTTTGCTCCTTCCTATGGCGGTGCTCTTCGACACACGGCGACCCGCCCATCCAAGCCTGGGTGGACATCTTCCCCACATTCAGCTCCTTTGCACTGCACACGCTGCTCGGTGCGCCATCCTCCAGCCTGAGGTTTGTGCTCAAGGCCACGGTGAGCGGAAGGCATGCCGGCTATCGTCGTCTCCGTACTGACAACTTGAGCAGCGGCCGAAGGGATGTCGTCGTTATCGACTGGCGGTGGGACTTCAAGTTCTGGGAAGCAATCCGTATGGTGGTGCTGTTGGTCGGTGGCGGCTCTGTGGCGGCATCCGTGCTCCTCAGTGATGGCGGGCGCATAATGGTCGGAACCACCGAGGTGGCAGTGGCGGATGGATATGTCGACGAGGACTTCCCTGCCACCACAGCTGCCGTGCGAGAGCTGCTGCGGCCATATGGTCTGGGAGATTTGACGTTCCGCCCGTGGTATTGGTGACGGACCTCGCTTGCTTTGCCTTATTGCGACTGCTCTAGCGAACCAAGGTCTCACTCGGTGTGTCAGCGAGACGACATCTGGTGGGTGGAAGGACGGTAGCAAGCACAATATTCGACGACGTGTATCGTTATTGATGGAACACATGGATGGGGTCATTCCGACAGGCACTCATGGACTCGCATGCAGACAGACATGAAGTGAAAAACCAAAGTCATCACCCCCCCCTCCCTCTCCACTCTGACCAATCTCTCTCGGACTCATCCATCTCTCCGTGAGGTGTGGGCGTCATGGATGTGAGGTATGCTGCGCACTGAACCGATTCCGGTCAGTGAGTGTCATACATCGCCGTACACAGCCGCCTAGCCCTTCCTTCTCATCCTCTTGTCTGCCTGTCTGTCGGATGACTCGCATGTCCCGATCGGGAAAGCCAGCCATGCGTCTTCTTCTCTCAAAATCTCCACTTCATGCGCCAGGCCAACCACACACACACACACACACACACGCGCGCACAAGCACATCCACGCAACACAAGTCAAGTACAGGCGAAGACACACGAGAGACGGCAGGCAGGCAGCTGCATCGTGCGCACCACATGCTCTCGTCGGCCGTCAGGGGCCACGATTGACTGGTCGAGTCGATCATTCGCAGAGCCCAACGACGTCGATCTCCAGTGGTGATCACTCAGCAACGCCCGCCCGCCCGCCCGGAGCGGGTTCCATGCATTTATGCCGCGACAGCGATGTTGAGGCCGGTGCCGGGGCTGACGACGCCGTCCTTGGCCGCCATGATGGCGATCAGGTCCACCAGACGTGTGGAATAGCCCCACTCGTTGTCATACCTACGCACACACACACATACACACACATGGACCGGCGAGAAGTCCATGAAGGGTGTTTGTGCGGGTGAGTGTTCGTGTGTGGTGGCGACACTGACCATGAGACGATCTTGACGAAGTTGGGGTTGAGCATGATGCCGGCCGAGGCATCGAACACGGTCGAGCACTCCTCGCCAACGAAGTCCTTCACAGACATCAACCACACACATCCATCTGTCCACCCATCTGTGTGCCCTGGCTGCCGCGTACACACAGGTACCTGTGAGACGAGTGCCTCCTCGGTGTAGCCCATGACGCCCTTCATGTAAGTCTCGGATGCATCCTTGACTGCCGCCTTGATGTCGTCCCAGCTGGTGGACTTCTCCAGCCGGCAGGTCAAATCGACCACAGACACATCGATGGTCGGCACGCGGAACGCCATGCCCGTCAGCTTCCCCTTCATCTCGGGCATGCACTTGGCAACAGCCTTGGCGGCACCTGCATAGAGAGCAGACCGCACACACACGGCAGAGAACTCCGCATTGATGTCTCCCTAGGCGTGTGTGTATGTTGTAGGTGTGTACCAGTGGACGATGGGATGATGTTGGCACCAGCGGCGCGGCCTCCCCTCCAGTCCTTCTTGGAGGACGAGTCGACCACATACTGGGAGGCGGTGGCGGCGTGGACGGTCGTCATCAGACCCTCAGCAATCCCGAACTTGTCATGGATCACCTTGACGATCGGGGCTAGACCTGACCATGAATCGGCCAGACAGACACACAAATACAGGCAGGCATGACGCCAGCTCGTCTCTGTCTGTGTAGTGTTTAGTGCGTTGCATACCGTTGGTGGTACACGACGCGCAGGAGACGACCTTCATGTCGGGCTGGTAGTCCTTCTCGGCGTTGACACCCACCACCAATGTCGGTGTCTCGGCGTCCTTGGCAGGGGCAGAGATGACCACCTTCTTGGCACCCTTCGGGCTGACACAACACACACACACACACACAGAGAGAGAGAGAAGAATATCCACTTGCCGTCTCAATGGGCTCGTGTGTTGGGTTTTTGGCTCGGTCGCTCACCGGTCGGTGTGCTTGAGGCATCCCTCCGTGGTGCAGAAAGCGCCGGTCGACTCGCAGACGTAGTCGACGCCGGCCTCCTCCCAGGGAATTTCAGTGGGGTCGCGCGTGTCGCTGAGTGTGATGGCGTGGCCGTTGACCACCAGCTTGCCGTCCTTGACCTCAGCAGTGCCCTTGAAGCGCCCGTGGGCAGAGTCGTACTTGAGGAGGTAGGCCATGTACTCGGGGGCCATGGGGGAGTTGACATGCTTGACAACCATGTCGTCCCTCTCCATGGCAATCCGGAAGACCAGCCGACCGATGCGGCCGAAGCCGTTGATGCCGACCTTGATGGGCGAGTTGGGGTCGGACGACATGGTCAGCAGCTGCTTGGCCGACACCATGCGGGCGGGGGACGCCAGGGAGTGGCGGGGGCGGAGGAAGGTGCGGGTGGAGGGGGCAGACACGGCCGGCAGGAAGCCCTCAGACTGACACACAGACAGACAGAGATGCATCACACAGAGGGGCGGTGGATGGATGTGTGTCTGTGTACCTGTGCGAGCATGGTGTTGAGGATGTTGAGCTCCTCCTCCCTGCTGTCCTCCTCCTGCGCGTAGTTGGACGCGATGAGCTGGCAGAGGTCCATGCTCTCCACATCCTCGGGAGTGGTCGTCTCGTCAGTGATGATCCCCTCGCGCACCATGTCAGACACAACCGCCTTCAACTCGCCATCAGTGAAGTGGCTCTGAAAAGGCGGACAAAGGCAGGAGCGATGTGCATCATTAGTGTTGTGTGGACGTGCAGGGTGGGCTGCCTAACCATGTAGCAGTGGTCGTCTGTGGTGAGGAGCTTGAGGTAGCTGTCGTCCAGGACGCACTGCTGCTCCTGCGTGTACTGGCATCGTGGGTGCTCCTCACACGCACTCACCTCGTCGTCATACTCCTGGCAACTCGCATCCGTGTACTCGCCTGCACCAGCCACCGGCCACACAACACACATGAGATGAGAGATCTGCACGATGTGGCAGATCTATGCGTCTGCATGCGGTGCCGCTGACCGAACGCATTGTGGAAGTAGACGTTGAGCTCCCGCCCCTCATTGGTGTCGACGAATCTGAAGTGCTTGGGGGCGATGATATCGGGAGAGCAGTCCGTGGCCGAGGCAGCCACGCAGCCCAGCACCAACACGCACAGCACGCACTTCATCGTCGAGCAGAACGAGAACAGAAAAGGGCGGAGCTGTCAACAAAAGAGCCGCTTGCCGCGTGTTCATTCGATGCCCTAACTCACTTTTGGGTCGACTCAGAGCTTGCAAAGGGTTTGCGAGCTGTAGCTGCGAGAGTGGACAGAAGAGGCGGAGGGCTTTGGGTGTTTGAAAGGACTGCCAGGTCACCACCATGGCGGAGGTAGGCAGAAAACAGCCAGATCTTGAAGGCTGAAAAACACGGAGATCAGCCAGATGATGCCAGAAGCAAAGGACACTAAGCGAATCACTGCTGTGCCTTATCTGTGCCTTATTTGTGCCCTGCTGTGTGTGTGTGTGGCAATGTGTTTTCAGGCAAAGCCAGCAGTTGACAAGAAGGTGCTGCACAAGGCGTTGAACAAGCGCGGCAAGACCAAGAAGGACAAGTATGGCGTCATGAGCTACGCCATCTGGATCGGCGCCGTCATCGCCCTCATCGTCGGCGGCGTCGTCATTCTCATCATCAACCCAGAGAAGAAACCACACCAGGTCTGCCTGCTGCAGACATGGCAGACGACATCCAATGGCATGCACACACACGCGTCGGCTCGTGTATGTATGTGTGTGTAATCTCTGCAGATGGCTGTGAACGATGACCTGCTGATAGCTCAGATCAACTCGGTGTCAACATTGTTTAAGGCTGGCGCGTCGGCTTTCTTTGAGGTGAGCATCCAATCAACCACACATCCGTCCATCCATCCATCCATGTGTGTGTGTCCATTTCTCTGTACTACAGAATTGGTCGATAGGCGACGTCAAGAAGCGTGCCGGCATTGGGCTCACCAACCGGGTCAACCCACACCAGTGCAACGTCAACACCAAGATGAAAATGCCGGCGGAATTCGACGCCAGGGAGAAATGGCCGGCGTGCTTCAAGCACCCGGTAGGGAGAGGGAGATGGGCACACAGACGGACGGCACGGATGCCTCTGCGTCTGTGTGTATGTAATGTCAGGTGTATGACGCCGGCAACTGCACAAGCACCTGGGCCATCATGGGTGCCTCGACGGTGTCCAACCGGTTCTGCATCCAAGACCCTAACACCTACTCGGCACTCAGACTCAGCCCACAGGTAGGCGGCCACCCATCCAATTTGCAATGCGTGTCTATCACGCGCCCTGAGTGAGTGTGGGTGTATTGTGTGTGTGCAGACATCGCTGTCTTGTGACACGCTGAACCGAGGGTGCGATGGAGGGGACCTGGACACAATGTGGTTCCACTATGAGAAGGAGGGGCTCGTCACCGAGAAGTGCTTCCCGTAAGACAACCAACCACACACACACCACACACACACACACGGGCCACGGTGTGTGTAAACGGGTGCGTCCGTCAGTTATACTGCCGATCCTGATGTGGGCTGCGAGGAGAAGTGCAACGACGAGCAGCCGCTCAAGATTGTCGCCCACTGTCTCGTCCACTCAGAGGACGGAATCAAACGGTACACCCACTCAACACACAACAACACAGCTTCGTTCGTGTGTGTCATTTAATGACTGACTGACAGTGAGGTGCTGCAGAACGGCCCAGTTGTGGCGCCAGTGACGCTCAACGACGACCTCCTCGTATACAAACAGGGCATCTACAAGGTGAGTGAGGCGGAGCCACCCGCGGACGCACGCAGTGCAGTGGACGGATGCATCATCATCATGTGTGTCTGTCTGTGTGCTGTTGTTGATTTAGCCGCTGGCCACGGCCAAGAGGCTGGTGACGGACAGGCGGTACCCCGTCATACACGCCGTCAAAATCATCGGTGGACCCTACACACATACACACACAAGACATACCAGAGAGAGAGAGACGGCTGGATGTCTGTCTCTCTCTCTGTGTGTGTTGTGTGCGTTGTGTGTGCCGTCACACAGGTTGGGGCGAGAAGAACCGTCAGCCGTATTGGCTTGTGGAGAATGCCTGGGGCGAGGACTGGGGTGAGGGCGGCTACGCCAAGATCGCCATCGAGAGGGACACCAAAGACAAAGACGACCACACCAAATCGGTCGTACTCAGCTACTGCTTCGCACGTGAGTGAGACCCCATCCATCCCCCCTCTCTCCCCACCAATATCAGACGCATCTCAATGCGTGTGTGTGTGTGTGTGTGCAGCCACGCCATCAAACAAGGTGATGGAAGAGCAGAGCACCGCTGGCCGAGGAGGGGACGAGGCCAAGTATGAGGCCGACCTGGACTTGGCGGCCGACGACCTGCTGGCCGAAGATGAAGAGGAGGAAGATGAGGAAGAGGCAGATGAGGGTGCCGAGGGGGACGATGATGAGGAACACGCTGAGGAGGATGTCGCACTGGATGAGTGAATAGGCAGGCAGGCAGGCAGGATGGTCAGCAGCGAGCCTGTCGGCCGATGTCATGGTATGTATGTTTTTCGTGTCTCGCTGTTCGGCTTTTTACTTTTTTCTCGGTGTTTTTCCTTTCCTTTCCTTCTTGCCTCCTTTCTCTCCATGTGTGTGTCCATGTGTGTGTAATGGTGAATCCCCCTTGTAGAGCCCTGTGTGTGGGGGTATCACTCACCCACTGTGTGTGTGCGTGTCTGTCGTCGGCTGGCTACTGCCGGGCGGCACTTCGGACAAGGACAGGCAGGCCAGCCATTTATGTGTCCGTAAGCTCTTAGGGGTCGTGCTGCCTGTGTGCATGATAATTAACCATGTCTGCGCGCGCGTGTCGATGCGACGATTCTGCATTGTGATGGATGGATGGATGGATGGACGGATGGGTGATAATTGAAGGCTGTGATGGTGAACGTGAGTGAGACATGCACCAGAGACATCAGCTCCATCCATCCATCCATCTATCCGCCCATCGTCCACGAGAGCATACCGGTGGCTTCCCGCTGTCACAGTGTTGTGTGTGGGTATTGTTGACACCTTGATTGGATGCAATTGGCTTTCATTCGATGTGCAGGCAACACGACACGGAAAGAATGTGGTACGCTGGAACAGTAAGAGCAGCCAGAAGGGACGCCGGCATTGCAGGGGGAGGCAAAGAAGAGAAGAGCAAAAGGCCATCGCACAATGGGGTGGGTGTGAGTCGGCTTGTCTGTCTTGGGTTCAAAAATCGAGGCATTCCAGACGGTTACAACACAACACGGAAAGAAACAACATTGTACCCGGCATGGCCAGAAGAAGACGACCAATATAAAACGTAGGCAGCAATTGAACGAACGCCCCCTCCTCCTCTTCTCCTCTTGAGGGGCATCCAAAGGAATAGGCTGGGTGGTGGATGCTTTGTGTGCGTGTGTGGCGGAGAAATGCTTAGAAAAGTCAGGCGTCGCCTCCAATGCTAAACCGTACGCACCACTCAGTACTAGATTTGTCTATCTTCCTCCCTCCCTCCTCGCTCCCCGCCTGCCGCTGACTTCCCTTACACCCTCCTCACGATGTATCCCTTCTTCGTCGTGCGCACACCCGCTCCCGTGTCGAGGGAGGGGTTGTGGTTGCCGGTGGTGAGCTCGTCCTCGCCCCTTGTCGGTCCCTGCCGGCACGTCAGTCGCCTTGACGCCATCACGCAGCCCTGCACAAGGCGTTGCACCACCACTGGGACTGGCCTGCTGCACCACTGGGGGCCTGGACCTGCCTCCATCACTGCCTCCAGGCGGCAGCTGACGACTCGACAGGCCGCCGCCAGACTGAGGTGTCGTGCGCTCTGATGCGGGGCTGCTGCCGCCCGACTGGCGATCTGCGCGAGGGGGGATGTGGCCACCACGGTGTGTGGGGCCGCCCGATATGTCCTTGTCGAGAGGGCCCAGGTTGATGGGTCCTGGTGGAAATGTGGGCGATGCGCCGTTGGACACCTTTGTGCAGGGGGACGAGGGCTGCTGGTTCCCATGCCGCTCCATGGCGTGGGGTCACTGCTCCCACCGGGGCTGGGCAGCGGGCTGGTCTGCCGCACCACTGGGGCGAAGCCGAGCGACGGGACGGCGTTGGCGGGCATTGATGTCTCGTCTTCACTGGCCTCGCCATACTGGTGCTCTGCTGCGGCAGACTGGGTGAGATGGGGAGGAGGCAGATCGCGTGTGGGGGCGGACGAGAGGGGAGGGGCGACGGGGACGTCCTCGCGCGACATGGGACGGGATGCGCCACCTCCACATCCGCACCGACAGTAGGTGGCATCGGTCGGCTCGGCCCGCCGACCCACGTCCTACCCCGGCCGCGGAAGTAGGTCTCGGGTGATAGTCTTCAGGACATCAGACGTGTAGTTCTTGTAGGGATCATAGCTGACAGAGAAGTCGCAGCAGAGGGCGGACACGTGTATGGGCGTGTGGTGACGTCCCTCCCTCCCTCCCTCCCTACCTCGTCACGGGAATGAAGTGTGAAACATAGCGCCCGATAGCGTGGCACCCGAACAGCACGTAGTCCTGACCACCCACACCATCAGGCGCACTCATCTGTATAACCTCCCTCCATCCATTTCCCCCCTATGTGCTTTGCGCGGCTACATACCTCGTGGAACAGAACGGGAAATTCCATGTCGTTTGGGCCCATTCAAACTTGACTCCGTACTGATTGATGCATTCATGCCGACACACAAGAACACGCATCCATGTGTGACTGCATAAGTGTGTATGTGTGTGTGTGACGTGTGTACCTTTTGGTAGATGGCGAAGGCCTCCTCGAACAGCTGGTACTGCAATTGCGGTACTGCTCGTCCTCATTGTTCAAGTCGACGAACTCCTCCGCCGGGTCTGAAGTTTGTATGGTGCGGATACGGTTGTGGTCACTGCCGTCGACATATAAAATGTAGGAGGCGATGCAGACAGGCGACTGAAGTGAGGAGGGAAGTGACAGAGACACGACACTATACGAGAAGAGCAGTGTATGTGTGTGCGTATACCTCTGCCTCTCCTTCTCCCTCTTCAAGTCCCTCTCCTTGGCCCGCACGTGGCGCGGCACATACACCCCCGTCGGACCACCAGCACCAGCACTGGTCGGCGAGTCCTTGCCTGTCGCCGATGTGGCGGGCTTGGCCGGGCCTGCTATTGACACCTCAGGGGCGATGGAGTGGGCGAGGGGGCGGGTGACCGGGTTCGTCGTCTCAGGGGCAGCAAACGGCTGGGACGTCACACCATTCGCATCGGCAGGAGACCCAGACACTTGCGGCCTCTCACAGGCGGCAAGCAGCAGGCCAGGGGGGCGATGGCGATGGCGATGGCGATGGCTGGGGCGAGGGGTCATCCGTCTTGGCCTCCTTGGCTTCATTCAGCCGCTGCTGCGACTTCTTGGGAGGGGTCTCGTGAGCGCAGACGGGCTTGCCAAGACCCTTGGCCGATGTGGTGGTGTTTCGTCCGGTGAGTTAGAATTGCCCTTGCCGACGAGCGATATGGTGGCCCTCTTGCCCTTGGGGGGACGGCTGGTCTTGGCCGCTCCTCGCTGGTACAGCTCTCTCCGATGTCGGGCTTGGCCCTCCCACCCCTCTCCCTCTCCTCATCCCTCACGCTAGAAGTAGATTTCTTCTGCACCTTCGGCTGCTGCTGCTGCGGCTGGGCCTCAGCACCGTGACGGTATTTGGTCGCCATATCAATGGTCGGTTGAATTCTGCTGAGGCATCGTCACTTAGAAGTTAGAACCAAGGGAAGGGACAGTCCATCTCGTCGGACGACAACGTCGGTTCGTCGGGGGCTCGCACCAAATGGGGGCCACGCGATCGCCTGAAACCAAGCCCGCAAGCGATTCAATGGATGTTCAGTGTGATGTTTGGTGGCCCTTCTGTACCTGGATGAGGCCGTCCATCGGTCATCGTGACGTCTGCAATGCTCCACACACGCCCAGACAAACATCCTTGGGTTTCTCTCTTCTGCTTTTTGTTTTCTGTGGCAAAGGCCCGCACCCCCCGTGGCTTGCTTACGTCGGACAGAGATAGGATGACATTGGTGTGCGGACATCCGATTGGCCACTTGCGACAAAATATAAAATGGAGGCAGCGATGGATTGGCTGCAGTGAACAGACACACACAGAGGGGAATGTGTGTTAATGAGAACTGACAAGGCGGTCATTTCTTACCTCATCTCACCGAGACACAGCCCGTTGCCTGATAGCTGACTTTAGGCGAGTGAGACACGACAATCCTTCCATGAGGATGTCGACGTGTATGTGTGCGTCGGTGTAGGTCCCTGGGTGTGTGACGCCTGGGACTTTTGTTGCGGCATCGTCGACGACTCAGAAGCAGCGGTCAGGGAAGTACATCATGCTGTTGGGGGGGTGGGGGGGTTCAGGCCTTGACGCTAGTGGCAACGAATGAGCGAACAGACGAATGAGCGAGCACCCGCCCTCCCTCGGGATGGTAGTGGTGGGGTGGCCCTTGCTCCATCTCACGGTTCATCCCCGCCGGCACAGGGGACTAGCGTGGCGATGGCGACGGCGGCAACTGATGCTGACAAGTGGCGTTGTAGCTGGTGTACTGCTGCTGATGATGCTGCTGGTGTTGGTGTTGGTGTTGGTGCCGCTGGATGGGTGGCGAGGGGATGAACTGTTCGTGAGGGCCGGAAAAGGGGCTGAGTGGCTGGAAGAAGGGCCCCCGTCCTCCTCTGAACGCCGTCATGTCCACCACCGGCTGCACGAACGCGTTGCGAGTGGTCTGATGGGAGGGGGGAGGGGGGAGTGGAGGGGCGCGTGAGGGAGGGGGGGGAGGCTGCCACGCGCTGTCACGCCGACCTTGTCCGGCCTGACAGGACACACAGACACCACGGGATGAGCGAAATGCGTCCTCCTGACCCCATGGATGGCCGAGAGGCACTCCCGACCTCCCCATCGGTGCATGAGCCCTGTGCGTGCGGTGTGCACCCCCTCACCATCGGGTGAGAGCCATGCGGCAGCTGTGCAGCATCTGAGCGAGGTCCCTGACCTCCGTGGGAATGCATCGGTCAATTCGTTGGGGGCTCGCACCAAATGGGGGCCACGCAATCCACCTAACCAAGCCGCAAGCGATTCAGTTGATGTTAAGTGGGATGGTTCGTGGCCCTTCTGTACCTGAATCCATCGGTCCTCGTGACCTCTGCAATGCTCCACACGCTTTAGCAGACAGCCACAAACTTTGTGTGGTGCGGTTGTGATTGTGGTCACTTTCTGTCGACATATAAAACGTAGGCGGCGATGCAGATAGGCGACTGAAATGAGAGAGACACATAGAGACACGAAAGTGAATAAGAGGAGCAAGGTTTGTGTGTGTGTGTGTGTGCCCCTCCTGTTTTCGTGTGTGCTCACCTGCAAGCGCCTGTGTGGAGAAAGGGCAAGCGACACATGCGCTGCGACACACCATACAGGGGGGAATTGTGCACCGACGCCCTCAGACACAGCGGGACATCCCAATGACACAGCCAACAGCCGTCCAGCCCGTCAGCAGAAGAAAGTGGCCATCCATCCAGACCGACACCCACGCAGGCAGGCGGGCAGGCAGGCAGGCAGGCAGGCAGAGAGAGAGAGAGAGAGATGAAGAGAGACCGGCAGCAGACCCACACAATAGTGCCCCCCGCTCACACAAGATGCCACCCAGACGATACGGATCCCCTCAGGCAGACACACAGACACAGATGCAGATGCAGATGCATGCATGGAGCCACCCACCCCCCACGCACCCACACGTCGATCATGCCCCCCATATACTGTGCCAGAGGTCCCTGCCAGCTTGGCATGTCGCCGCCCATCCCACTTTCGCCCTCATCCACCTGTCCTGGTCTGCCGCCCTGACCGCCCACATGGCCTCTTGGGCATCCCACTCCCAGAGGTCATGGCGCTGCGGTTGCTCACTCCAGTACCAGCCCCCGTGGATGTTGTTGTGCACCACGTCGTGCACGACGGCCATCGGGGCCATCTCGGCGGGGACCAGCACCTTCGTGAAGCAACTCACCATGTTCTCCAGGCCTGGGGCGGGCACATAGGGAGGCTCTGGGTGGCGCTGCGGGGAGGAGCTCGGTGGTGGCGGCGATGAGGGAGTCGTCGTCTGCTGCCGGTGCTGCCAGTGCTGCTGGTGCTGCTGGTGCTGAGTCATGGCCGGTGCTGCTGTGGCGCCACCGGGCACGAAGTCCTTGGCGAACGGGTTGAGCTGGTGCTCCCGGCTGGTTGCGGTGCTGGTGGCTGCCTGAGTGACTGCTACCGTGTGTGGGATGGCGGGGACGGCCTGGGGGGTCAGGGGTGAGTCCGGCAACGCATCATAGGACGCTGGGGACCCACCAGGCGACCCTGACCCCGTCTCGGCACCAGAGTCGTCGCCTGAACCAGACAGACAGACAGACAGATCAATGAAGTGAGATACCATCCATCACCATGCTAGATGCCTTCCTCTGGTGTGTATTTCTTTGCCCACCCTCAGTCTGCACTCTCTTGAGAGCCGGCGATGCCGCCGCACTGCAGGAGTAGGGGATGCCGGACTCCACAGCCTGGCGCACAGCTGCCGACTCCAGCAGCTCCAGCCCTCTAAACAGCCGCTCCTCCATCTCTCGCAGCGACGCCCTCTCCCTCTGCTTGGTTCGCAGCCCCCCTGCTGCCGTGGCCCCCAACAGGTCCACCCAGCTCTTCGTCCACTCCACGCCGGGCGTGGCGAAGAAGGCGGCGAGTGGGCATGTGGGATGCCCATGGTGGAGGGGGTGGTGGGTGTGGCCGTCGATGAGCTTGGGCATGTGCTCCTCCCACTGCAGGGCCATCTGCTGCTCCCTCCTCAGCTTGACGTGCTGCCACTCTGCACCCGTAGGAGGGACGGGGAGCCCCGCCATGATGGTTTCGAAGACGGGGCGGCCTCGGAGGGCGGCAAGGTAGCTCATGCCGACTCCCCACGAGAGGCTCGGCTCACCGACGAGCACGGCCTCCTCCTTGCCTCTCCCCGTCAGCATGCCCTCCGACCGCAACTCCTTGCGCTGCTCCTGCCACCCCGCGAAGATGGCGTCGGTCGTCGGGTCGCCACTGGTCGACGCGGCGTCTTGGTCGGCATCCTCGTCCTCCTCATCATCCGGCCCCATCATCACCACGAAGTGCTCGGGCGACATGTACCAGTTGGTCCCCTCCGGTGGCGCCTCCTGTGCCTCGGTGTCGAGGGGAATGCGAGCGGCTCTCGGGCCCAGAAAGGCGGGGTGTGCGTATGGGCGGGGCGACGGGGGCGCTGCGTGGGCCTTGGCGAGGTCGATCATGACGGTGCCGTTGACGGAGGGGTGGCGCTCCAGGGTGTGGTCTCGGCCGCGGAGGGCCTCCCAGGGCAGCATGATGTTGTTGACAAACCCATCCAGGCAGTACACGCCGTTCAGACGCGCAAGCCCGGTGGGCCTGTGTGGCCAGGACGAGGGCCTTCTGGATGACCTTGACGGCATCCAGCACCTTGGTCCACGCCTCTCTGGTGTTGCTGCCCTGCAGAAAATCCCTCACGACCGCCACGAGGTTGTACTTGAGCCGCTCCTGCCTCTCCTTCTTCGTCCACCCCAACAAGACCGACAGCTCGACGTAGACCTCATCTGCACGCACGAACAGCACACACAGCCACACACACAAAGGTGTTCGTGCTCTGATGGTCCTTCCTGTCCCTTCTCCCCAACACATGCAGTGACACTCTCAGAATCTGCCCTCTTATCGCTCACCGAGCAGCGGCGGCATGGCTATGCACAGGATGTCTACAGTGCTGCCGTCAGGGCGGGCGGTGTCGGCCGCGAGCAGTCGCAGAAAGGGGGGCCGGCCTCGCCGCTCCTGCATCCGCCTCACCTCAGCCTCCATCTCGCTCCTCGCCCTCGTCTTCTCTGCCGCCGTCAGCCCCCCCAGCTCCCTTGTCTTGATGGCTACATCGTCGGTGTCCTCTGGGGGGCTGTAATGTCGTCGCGGCAGCCTCCCTCTCAGCGTGGCGCTCCTCTCGTTATCAAATGTGACGGTACGGCCGTCGATCCACTTGAGCTGTGACGCAGACATGCTCATCTCCTCTTGCTAGTTTGATCTCCTGCCGGCAGCCGTCCCACTCTTCTGCGGCTGTGGGAGTGGCTGCATACTTGCAGCAGCATCTGAGCCAGTACGTGACGAGCTCTTGTTCACGGATCTGAGAGCCGCACCCTGATGGAATGAAGAGACACGTGTGCTTGCTTCTTTCTTTGTTTGTATGTTTGTTTGTTTGTTGGCGTGGTGTGCGTACCCGACAGGGTGGAATCGTGAGGACCGATTCTCGCCACAAGACCACCAAACACCTCCGCCGCCCCATATCCGAAACCCGTGATAAGAGGGACGCTCAAATATAAAATGTAAGCAGCAATTGAGGCGCCTGACAATGAGAGAGAGAGAGAGAGAGAGGGAGACGTGATAGAGAATGACGTATGTCCTCATTGTGTGCTCACGCTCGAGCCGCCTCTTCGCCTCTCTTCCGCGCGAGGACGACCCTTCTGCATCTTGGCTGCTCCGCATCCTCGCCAATCTGAGCAGGTGGCTCGGTCTCACTCGCCGCGGCAGCCTCACCCTCGTCCTTGCCCTCAGTCTCTTGTGGCGAGTCTACTGTGTGTGGTGGATTCACGTGGGTTCTTGTGTGGTGTCTTCACGTGGGTTTTTACATCGGCCGCATCGACAAGGCGTTGCTCCTGCTCCTCGTCGTGATCTGAGTGCACCCACACAAGGCAGACCGAGAGACGGACAATGAGATGAGATGCATCATTGTGTGGCAGGCCCGCCCACCGTATGTATCTCTCCTACCGCGGTAGTCTCCTCCTGCCGGGGCCCGTGCTGTGTCGTGTCGCGTGCTGTGTCGTGATGGTATGGATGGTACAGCACAGCGGCTCTCTAGCTGTCTGTCTGTATGTTTGTGTATGTGTGTATGATCAATCGACATATATGACATCCATCCATCCATCCATTCATCCATCCATCCGGACAGACAGACAGACAGACAGACAGACACACAGACAGACAGACAGACACACAGACAGACAGACACACAGACAGACACCAGGGAGGCAGACAGACGGACACAGCACACACCACACCACACCACACCCCACTACACAGTGATGTTGGGCGCCCCAACCCAATGAACCCTACACCCACACAGAAATAAAAATGTACAGAAACGCACGACACCTACGTACAGACACCCACCCCTCTCCCTTCCCCCCTGCCCCCTCGCCCCCATCCCCCGTGCCACAGCATCGAGCCATCAGCACCGAACCCCTCCCGCGGATCCCCGCTGTGTGTAAACGGGTATGCAGACATCCATGTGTGTGTCGGTCGTGTGCGTGTGACCAAGACAAGACGCCTCCATTGTGCCCATCTACAACTGACGCACACCCTCCCAGCGTGAGGCCGTGTCGGACTTACAGCGGCTCTGTCTGTATGTCTGTGTGCGTATGATCAATCGATATGACATCCATCCATCCATCCATCCAGACAGACAGACAGGCAGGCAGGAGGGCGGACAGACAGACAGACAGACGGACAAACCACACACCACAACCACTACACACTCATGCCCAAAAAAAAAAAACAGATGCCCGAAACCCCATGGACCCTACACCCACACAAAAAGAGAAATGTAGGAAATGCACGACACCCACGCACAGACACCGTCCCCTCTCCCCCCCCCCCCCCCCCCCCCCCCCCCCCCCCCGCC